CCAAGAGTATAAAACCTCCCCTTTGCAACAATGTGGAGTCCATCCAGCCGAGTCTAACCCAGTTTAATCTTACCGGCGTTACTACAACCCGCGTTACTCTTCCTCTCCCGGGACTCGCGGCGCCTAGCAACCGACACGCCCGTTAGCGCCACCCGTTTCCAAGGAGACCAAAAAATTCTCCGCCATTTTCCCCCACCCTCATCCCCCACCCCTCTTCCGATTGGATAACGAAACGTTCCATCCTCCTTCCCCCAGCCATTGGGAAGAAGAAGAAGAAGAAGAGGGGGGAAACCCAACTCAGAGTCCGAATGGCATTCCGGGACTTGTAGTTTGAAAAAAACGCCCGACGTGTGCGCTTGCGTGCCTTTGCGCGGGCGGGAAAACCACAATTCCCAGCAGCCCTCGCTGCAAGTTTGACATGTCCGGGTAAATAGGGTCTTTTGCAGATCAAGGTGCAGATCAATTCACGTGCGGGTTTTTGTGGGTGGATGCAACGCATGAATTTTTTTGGGGGGGGGGAAGCAAACAGGGTGGGCTTGTGAGGAGGGAGTCTGATGCAGCTGACCCCCCACCCCATGCAAAAAAACTGGGGAAAGGAAGATCTTACTGGTATCCTTTCCTAGGAGGGGGATCTTAGCAAGACATCAACAAAACTCAACAAAACTAGGCACAGGATGCTGCCAAGGTGGTGCTACCTGGCAGGGAAGGCGTTAGCAAGGAGCAATCGTGGCTTGCCGAAGGGGAGAAGTCCCCACCAAGTGGGCTTGTTCGTGAGCAGCGCAAACCTGGGTCCTGCAGAAAAGGAACCAAAGGCAAATAAGGAGTGGACCCTGAAGGTCGGTCCTTTCGGTCTGCTGAAGGCGCGTCTCCCTTGCCACATCACAGTGGGACCCCTGGACCCCCATGAATACCCCGATTCTGACAAGGTCTTTGTGGCCCTTAAGGGGAGGGATTCCAACCCCGAGCCTGCCTCGGATCTGCTCCTGAATTATGACGAGGCCCGGAAAGAGGTGATGATATTATCCGACGGCATGGATGGCGCAGCTTCCCTGGATGTGAGGACTCCTGTAAAATTTGGTAGGTACAGAAAGTGGCGAGTGCGGCGTCATAGAATACAAGCGGTCCTCGAATTAATGACCACAATTGAGCCCAAAGTTTCCATCGCTAAGAAAGGCAGAGCGGGGAAGTGGGTTTGGCTCCATTTTTCTGAACGTTTTTTTTTTTTGCCACAGTTGTTAAGCGCATCGCTGCGGTTTTTAAGTGAATCCTGTGGCCGTTAAGCGGAACCCTTGGCTGGGAACCCAGGCAGCTGGGAAGGTTACAAATGGTGACTCTGGGACAGTGCAACCGTCATAAATACACATCAGTTGCCAAGTGCTTAAGTGTTCTGACCGAGGCTTCCCAAGAGCATGAAACAAACTCCTTGTCCTGACAAAAAACCCTTTTATTAAATGACTGTGAATTCTGCTGATTCACATCCAGCAAAGTCTTTC